GCCTTCTTGGCCGCCAGGGCACATTGCTGGCTCATGGTCATCCTGTTGTCCACCAGGACTCCCAGATCCCTTTCCACAGAGCTGCTCTCCAGGAGGTCAGCCCCCAACCTGTACTGATGCATGGGGTTATTCCTCCCCAGATGCAGTACCCTACACTTGCCCTTGTTGAATTTCATAAGGTTTCTCTCTGCCCAACTCTCCAGCCTGTCCAGGTCTCGCTGTATGGCGGCACTGTTTTAATTACAGGAATCTTAAACTAACCTTCCACTCACCTGAACATAACCTGACAAGAACACTGGTGACCCCAGCACATTAAACACTGTCCTTTCTAGCTGGAGAACACTCAGCCAGAGCCACTGTCTCAAGAGAATTTAGGGTGAGGGGAAAAAAAGGCTGAGCCCACATCCTGAAGTGAGATACATGTGTCTACCTACTTCGCAATTAAGCAGTGGAACTGAGGCACCCAATACTAGTGCTGGTTGAGTTATAAACAGAGAACACTGGGTCCTCAGTATTTACATCAAGAATCCAATAATCCATCAGGTGCAATGAATTACCATTACTCTTACAATACCCACAGCTCCTTTTCCCCCTTCTTCAATAAGAGGCATTTCCAAATCACCACCACCACCCCCCACCAAAGAAAGTGTCCAAGAGAATGTTAATTTTCATATCCACATTCACTGAGGGTCTAAGATTATTTCTGGTTTTGAGGGATCAATGATGAGGCTGAGAGAACACAGCACTATAACCAGTTAAACCCACTTTCCTGAACTTTCTTGAACAAAGTGCTGTGTGTTACTACTGAGAACAAAGTGTCACTTCTACAGCAGTATCCCCAGTTGGTGCCAGGGAATATGACAGAGCTGTAAATCACACAGTTGCTGAACTGCAGAAAGCTGATACATGCTTAACGTCTTGGTGTATATTTGGTAAGCCAGTGCTATGGAGTCAGTGTGAACACACAAGCTTCATCCATGTCACAAAAGACTCTGGTAACTCCACAGGCCCCACTGGTCTAGTCTTTATCATGACAAGTCTGGAGACAGGGACAGGCACCTCCTTGAGGAGTCATCTTAGGAACAACATCCCAATCAGTTTGGTCCCAGAGGTGCACAGGGTGGTGCTGGTCCCTGGCAGTGACCAAGAGGCTCACTGCAACCTCAGACACCTGAACCAGATGAGGCCTTCGTGGCTTTCTCAGCTCCACTCCTGTGCAACACAGGCACCCGATCCCTTCACTTGCTACATTTAAAAGAACAGGAAATAGAGCACTTATCAGGAATGCATCACTTTCTAAGCAATAAAAATACTTCACATATGGATCAAAGATGTAATTTAAACCTCCCAAGTCTCCCAACAATAGACGTAAATTATAAAGACATTAGTGATTTAAACAAAAAGAACAGGATACAGAATAATCCACCATGCAGAAGAAAACGTGCCTAAGCAGAAAGTGGTTAATCCCTGTAGAGCGGCTGGAGGAGGGGACATGTCCCTGAGCTCGTGCTGTAACCGACTCCTCCATCCAAGGATGAGGGAGGGCTGGGCATCAAGTCCCTACAGGTACTGCCAAGGGAAAATAATGATGTGATCTGCAGTGAGGAGGAGTATGTATACTGACACTGTCAATGTTCCCTTAGAGTATCACCCACAGAAAGACACAATTATTTATTGATGATAACAAAACCATCTAAAATAGACATGAGTTCCTACTGTTACACCCAGTAAGAAAAATGCCTTTCATATTTTCTTTTATTCTTTTTCAAGAACAGTTCAGAATAAAGTGTTTGCTATTACGCTGTCACTGCTGAAAATCTAATGACTTAGAAAAGGCACAGTACAAGACAGAAGAGGAAAAAAAAAAAGTCAGTGAGCTGCTAATGAAAGGAAATTTTAAGATCTTCCGGATGATATAAACTCATTCATAACTCATCAGTACACTACACTGACCTCTGAAAATTATAAATTTAAAAAAAAAAATCAGTCAGAACTTTGTAGAAAATATAAGTTTTACCACTGGTTTCAGTGGGCACGGCAGAAGGCCCTCAGAATATTTTTAGGCCCTCATGAAGTTAAATATTTTTCACATAATGCACCTGAAAGGATGAAGCCAGGTAATAACTATAGGACTATGTAAGAATTAGAGACACCACGTAAAAGCACTGTACATACAGCATGGGTAGCCTGTGGGATCCAGAGAATGGCGGATACACCATATACAGAGCCTCCGCTCCCTCATACTGGTGCATCTGTCCCCCGTAGTCCCCAGCCATTCCTTATATCTGCAAGAATATAATAGAAAGAAAAGGCATAACAGGGCGCTTCAAGACCTGAGAGAGGACGGGAGCACATGGTTCAGGGTTGCCACTCCCTCACCCAGGTACTACCCAACAACTCTGGGCCTTCAGTTCTCCACCGTGAAAAACAAACTTCTAAAGTTTAATGGCCATATGGGCATGGTACAAAATTCTTAGGCTTGACACAGTTTTTAGAAGGCAGGGGACCACTCCTGAATGGATTACAGTTAAGGTGCTTGTTCCAATCTGTTTTGTAATGTTTACCACTGCAATTATATATCGTGATAACCACAAAAGAGGTAATATGAATAAAATTGGATTTCTCAAGGAAGAAAAGATTGAAAGAGTTGAAAGAAAAAAGAACTCTCAAAAGCCTAAAAAGAAAGTTTTCTAGTCACCAGTTTTGTTGCCTGCAAAAAGAAATTAATATTCAAATATATGTTCCCCAATATCCATGTCAGAGGTAAAGGGAAACAGCATCCAGTTTCCAAAATATCTTTGTGGATGTATCAACTAAAGGATCAATGACTCAACTGGAAAACGGAATTGTAAGACTCCACTGGACACGATCCATGATAAGAGGACAACACGAAGAAGCAAAGAGTCATGCCACTCCCACTTCATTTGTGTGGAACACAAAATAAAACCATAGGTCAAAAACTGTCAAAGTTCTGATACTAAACATTTGTTTAATAGAGAAAGAAGTGCACATGCATATCCCAGATGGCTGGGAACAAAGAGCTACCATTAATCCAGCCAGCCCAGGGTTGCATTATTCCCTTCTGTTAAGCCACTTACGTATGTTCTACCCACTTGCATCAATGTGCAATTTCATAACCTAATCATTAAAGTGTGTTGATTTTATCTTCAGAAGGAAGGACAGTGGTAGTTTCAACTTTGCAGTCATAAAACCGATACAAGGAAGCAAAATGGAGAAGTTTCATTAAAAAGGAGTATTCATTAAAAATGGCAACATGGGGATGTAGATGCAGAGTTCCTGCTGGTACCACTTGTATGATAAATGCGCTAAGAAACCCAGTAGTTGGATGTGATTGCAACCAGCCTATAAATAGACAATTTCAATTGCTCATATAAATAATGTCTTTGAAAATGATCCATCACTCACGTTGTGTTCTGATTAAGGAGCCTTGCATGAAAAGTGTGAACTGAACAGAAATGCCCCTGAAATTTGCTTCCTCTCTTGCACAATACAACCACTTGCCACCTCAATCTCCATCCAACTGAGCACCTTCATTCTCACGGAAATCGGTGGGAGAAACTTAGCGCTTGTAAAAAGAAGGTCTAGTAGGCCTAATAAACTCATGATAGAAAACACAACTCACAATCAGTCAGTTTTAACTTTTGGTAAACAATTTTTGTTCTACTTAATAATTCAACCTTAAGGTGGAGCTTTTAACCATAAAATTTAAAGCTATTTTGTCACGTATCTGGTCACTAAACTAAAATCACATAACAGAAACTAAATTTGCTTCAGCCTTGAAAATGTCACAGATATTGAAACAACTTTGCTCAAACTCCAAACAAGAATTAAATTAAGGTCAGAGACAAACCACAAAATATTACATCCTAAAAATTATCTGCCAGAAATTTATGGGTATGTCAGAATTATAAGTATCATTGGCACATTTTAGTAACCACAGTTATATAAGTACAGTTACCTAAAGAGATGTTTAATAGAATAAACATTCTGAAACTCACTAAACTGCTACTTTTAATGAAAACTAAGGCTAGCACATTCACTCAAGAAAAATTTGCAATTCAAAGCAAGCATTTCAAACAAATGTCAGTGCACTATCACAATTTCAAGTGTTTTTTCCCCCCAACTCGATCACCAAAATACTATAAAAATAAAAAAAATATAATTGGTAAATCATTGCCACAGCAACTGACAGAGAAAGTACCCCTGAAACCTTGTCTGCTCTCTCAGAATGAAAGAAACTTAAAGCATAACACAAACATTAGAAACTAAATAAAAACAAAATAAAAAGTAAATATCAGTGTATTACTTGAAGGACAACAAAATCAGGATTCCACAGGAAGTGCTAAGAAAGAAAACACGTAAGCAATGCTACTTAGAAAGTAAGAATATATGAACAGTAGGTGACGAAATGTTTTACAGCTTTTAGGAAAATTTAGCAAATACTATTACTTAGTGTTTTGTATCTATTTTAAAATATTTTTTCCAAGTTAATTTCTGTTTTAACAAAATTGTGAACATACCCCGTGTTCCACTTAAAGCATCTTTCTACACTAAGTTACACACTCCATAAATATTCCACTAGATTTACCTAAATAAAAAAGCTAGAAAACACCAAATATAAGCTTGTGTGCCTATATGTGTGCACACATGGCCACAAAAACTGTATATTTTACTATTACACAGTTAGAAGAGAAGCATACATATGGCAAAAGCTGTGTTTGTGTGAGCACGAGTCTGAGCATGCACATAATATTGGTCCTTTCTCTACTTCATACACTCTCCTCCATCCACAGACACGCTCTAGAGTATTTTGAGACTGCCATGGGGTGATCATCAATGCAGACCAAGACCCCTGTGTTCCATGCATGCTCTTATGCTAAAAGGGCAGGAGGTCACTATTCTGCAAATCTAAAAAAAAGGTCATTTTTAAAATTATTTTCTTGTCCCTTAGAGGCCACTCTTGTAGCTTATTCCAGGCTTGTAATTCACAACCATTTATAGAACAACTACACAGATTATTTCATTTCTAGCTTTTTATTTATTTAAGACAGCATTTATACTGCTGCTCTGTAACAACACAAGACCCTGAGCTTTAATTCCGAGTGATCTGGGGTACAGTCCCACGTACATTTGTTTATGATCCCCAGCACATCATGACCAGCTAAATGTACTTGTGAATTCAATTAACTGCTGTTCACGTAAATTTGTCAGGACAGCTTTTTGTCCTGTGTCATGTGACAGTAATATTTCATCTTTGGGGTAACCAGGGCATCTACAGGAATGAATTAATTCCTGTTACTTTCAACTTTAAATCTACACAGTTTCTTGACCATTCCACAGTCAAGTTGTGCTCAGGTGGTTTTAGGTAACTGGCATCAAGCCCAGGTGTGAGGATACCATGAGCTGTAATTAGCACAGTGATGCACACAATTAACACCTCCTTCAAACTGCAGCAAACCACTCTCTAATAGCAGGAAGTCTTTGTCTCCTTTCTGCAGCACAGCTTTTATGTCAATGCACATTTCAAGCTTCCTTCCCTGTGAGACCAAGCTCTCTGCAGAGCTGGGAATGCGCACAGTGCAGGGAAGGAGGATGTCTACCACCCAACAAGCACTGCTGCCGGGCACTTGGCGCAGGCATACCACAAAGGATCTGAAACCCCACTTCACTCTTTCTTTTTGACCGAATCAAGCGTAGGCTTCCTACTCTCCTCTTCTAGGCCCTTACTAACCCTGTGCATCAGCTACTGTCGCACTGTGTTACTCCTCTCTGCCTCTGCTTTGCTGCCTGACCACAGTTCTCCAACAGCCTGTTTAGTATTTTTCCACACCGTCCTTTACACATGGATTGCATACATAAAAATTGTACCACTTTCCCTTCCTCATTCTTGCGGCAGACCAGTTTCTTGGATGGCATATAAAAGAAAGAGGCTGAGAGAGTTGGGGTTGTTCAGCCTGGAGAAGAAAAGCCTCCGGGGAGACCTTATAGCGGCCTTCCAGTATCTGAAGGGGACCTACAGGAGAGCTGGGGAGGGACTTTTTACAAGGACATGTAGTGACAGGACGAGGGGGAATGGCTTCAAACTGGAAGAGGGGAGATTTAAATTAGATATTAGGAAAAAAATTTTCACTGTGAGGGTGGTGAGGCACTGGAACAGGTTGCCCAGAGAAGCTGTGGAAGCTCCATCCCTGGAGGTGTTCAAGGCCAGGCTGGACGGGGCTTTGAGCAACAGGGGTTGGAACTAGATGGTCTTTAAGGTCTTTTCCAACTTAAACCATTCTATGATTCTATGCGCTGCATTAATACAACAAATTTTTATTATTTTTAAATTTAATTATCCCCTTAAGAAGAAGAGGGATTTAATTTGGGTGAGAGCGATATAAGGAAGAAAAATACAGTATTTATTCAGAGAAATTTCTGAATCTAAAACTCAGGAGAGATTTTCAAATTCATGTTCAGTCCTTCTACGCTTTTCTTACAAATTTTATACTAAAGTTTTGGGCTCCCCAGTTCAAGAGGGACAGGGAACTACTGGAGATAGTCCAGCGAAGGGCAACTAAGATGATTGAGGGATTGGAGCATCTCCCTTATGAGGAAAGGCTGAGAGAGCTGGGACTCTTTAGCCTGGAGAAGAGAAGGCTGAGGGGAGACCTTATTATGGCAGACAAGTATCTAAAGGGTGGGCTGAAGGAGGATGGAGCCAGACTCTTTTCAGTGGTTCCCAGTGACAGGACGAGGGGCAATGGGCACAAGCTGGAACATAAGAAGTTCCATTCAAATCCACGGAAAAACTTCTTTACGGTTAGGGTGACAGAGCACTGGCACAGGCTGCCCAGGGAGGGTGTGGAGTCCCCTTCTCTGGAGATTTTCAAGACCCGCCTGGATGCAGTCCTGAGTAATGTACTCTAGGCAATCCTGCTTCAGCAGGGGAGTTGGACTAGATGATCTCTAGAGGTCCCTTCCAACTCTGAAGATTCTGTGAAAAAGCTAAGTATACCCTGCTTTACACAGACACATGACCACCACTGCCATACAATGGCCAGATTTTTCTCCACTTGCTATGTGATCAAGCACCATGGGATGGAGCAGGACTTTTCCTGACTTACACAGTCAATGTAAGATTGAACCAGAGGGAGAGGTCCTGAGTTCAAAATCTATTAAGGAGACTCCTTAATAGTAAGCTAATAATCAAATGGGACAAGTAGGAGGAAAAACAGTGCTTGCAGAAGGATGTCTTTAGTCCCATGCTGCAATATGCCTGGTG